TTCTCAATGTAAATAAGTCAACAGAAAAGAAATTATTTTTTGATATTCACAAATTTTGACATTGGTGCTTTTTTGCGAAGATAGAGGGTATTTTTTACCTCACACCAAAAATTCTTACAAAAATCTCCGTATTCATCATTAGCGGGATAGAGAGGGGATAGGGAGGGGTGGAGACTTGTTACCATGCTTATCAGCGAAAGCACAGTTAAAAAATTTCAAAATAAAGCTTTTAACTTTATATGTAAAATTGTTATGAACATATTATGCTATTTTATAACTTTTGAAAAAAATAATAAAAAAATTATATCATATATATATATATATATATAAAATCCCAATTGCAATCCCAAATGCACTTTTAGTCCTTGTCCCGAGCCAGCTTTCATGTAGCCCTAAACTCTCAAAGACGGATCCCCTGTTCCTAACCTAAAGAACACTTGCTTTTTACCAGTGGAGATTCCTTGGGGTTCCTGTCTCCCTATGTTTTGTTATGCAGTTTTCTGCCTTTTGCCCCTAATGTTTGGGATCTGCTGTTTTATTTGGGTTGTAAAAGAGGACTGTTTCTTTGTGGGTAAAATGAAAAATATCGTAGACGGGAACATCATGATAAAGAATCAATCAATCAAAAACTAGTATGATATTCTAGAATCAGTTAATCACATATTTATCATTGATTGTGGATGATCTTTGCACATAGATAATTTGGTGTTTTATTTTGCTCTCTTAGATGCAAATGCCTGTAATTGGAACTGTAAATTTTCAAAATTGCCAAAACAGAAGCTTCATAAATTTCATATATTAAGGTAGAAGGGACCAGCTACACAATACAAGGAGTAATCATTACAATTGTCAGTCCACACTTTGACTGTTGTGGTATTTTGTTTCCTTCTCTTCCATCTTTCCATGGAGCAACCATTTTTTGTACATCGCCAAAGAGGCTAATGTTTCAACTTTCAGCGTAAAAGGTCCATAAACTGAGATTACCATAAGGACATTGCTATGCAAACACAAGATTGATTTGATAAATCGATTCAATTTAGATCCAATGATGCAGGACAGGATAAATAATGTCTAGGATGCAGCTGGTATTGCCTTCTGAGATATATGCTTCAGAACCTGTAGTGTGTCTTGGATTAACTTGAGACCAGATGACTTGATGATGCTCGGTGTATCTCATCAGCATAAGCCACAGGCACATATATGGCATTTATGAGCGAGCTGTGTGTTCGTCCATAGAATAGATAAATTAATGCGCCTATTGTTAGCCATAATGAAACCCGGATCAATGCACCAGCTCTGTATGTGTGTCAAAGAAATTGTCAGACTAAGAATGGAAAAGAATATTTTGCTACTTCATTCCAGTAAGAGGGAAGATTTATGGTCAACCACTTACCCCAGATTTATTAACAAGTATGTGTTAACTAGGATGCAAGCGCTCGGTAAGAAAGGAACAAATGGGCAGAGGAAACCTGAAAAGAGAGAAACAACAGATCAAACCATAAAATCTACAATCAATTGCATGCTCTTGAAAGTGTATAAAAAAATGTGTAATTTAATACTAGTGTTTTTATATAAAGATGTGATCATCAAAAGAAGCAATGGTTTGTGAATGTAGCATTTAAGTGAATGACAGAATAGATCAAGAAAAATTAAACAAGTTATTCACCAGTTTCTCCGTCTAGAACTTACCAAGTATTCAGGTTTAAGATCATGTCTTGGTTATAACCATAAATAGGTTTCACCAGTTCAGGCCACCATCAAAGTGGGAGATGTCAACCTAACATTATGCTTTTATAATTCTTATTAATGAAAATGGCTACAAATTCAAGATGTACAAAAAACTGAAGGTACCTCCTGAATGTCCGAAGTTGTGCCTCGCATCATCCTGATTGATGCATGCCAGAACAATCAAACTGCACAACAGAATTGCTGCACCTGCTGCACAGAGGGTGATGCGGAGCAGGCTGGTGTACAATAAAAAAGGCAGTTTGGTAATAACCTCTCAGTTTGGTCTTAGAAGTTCCAAACTTCAAAAATCATATGCATAAGACAACACCCTACACCCTACACCCTAAAATGCTTCAACTTCTCCGTTGTTTTTCATTTATGGTAATATATGGTTGCAATTCCTTTAAGATCTGATTTAGGCCTAAACTAAACTCCAACTTGTTATAGTTTAATTAAGTTTGCCGTGAACTTGTTATTTTATTTTATTTCATTTTATTTGGATTTTTCCTACTGAACTTAGTTTAAAGGTAATATTATGTGGAACTCAGTCAATTTAGATTGGGATCCTAGTTGTTGCAACTTTGTGTATAAATAAACCAGTCCTCCAAGTTTAGATCACCTAAATCACAAATTGGTTGGAACTTAGGTAAAGACTAGAAAGTTATGCCTTCCACTTCTCCAGTTCTGTTTCCACTTCAAGAAACAACAAATGCGAAAGGGTTTCAAAGGGCATAGAAGTTAGAAACCTGGAAAGTCTTTCTGTAGAAGCTGCTGATGCAAGGACAAGAACACCTATGCAGAGAAGCGCTATATTCCATGCTGCAATTTTCCTCCTCTTTTGTTGTTTCTGTCTACCTGTTCAATTAACATGAGTCAAAAAACTGATATGACTATTGAGCATCAGAAGAAGGAAATGGAGAATTATAAGAATTGAAGCAATAAATAGTACATGTATTCAAAAGCTACGAGGCATTAAAGGTTCTCAATGTAAGAGCAATACAGGCATGGTACCATCTGGTCCTTTAGGAAAATGAGGAAAAAATAACATGAAGCTTAAAGAGGCATGCCATACACAAAGGACTGACTTAAACTTTTGCTTCTTTGATTATGAAAAGATAATGAGAAGAAATGTCAAATTTGTTGAAATCTTTTTAGTAAAATCTTATAAGCTATTTTCATAAATGTTGTGAACAAAAGTTCAATTGTTTAATCTCTATCCTATTGCTGCAGAACGTGAACTAAATGAGGACATTCAACTGATACCTTCAGCTACTTGCTTTTGAATAAGAGGACATTGAATTGATGCCTCACTGTTCTCTGGAAGGCAAGACCTTTGCTCACAAGCACAATCACTTTCAAAGTTTTTATTTTCAGTCTCCTGAATATAATTACTGAACTGCATTCTTACTGAATCAATGGACTCTTGAAGAGATGATGGAAATGGCACCTCATCAGGAGGAGCATATCTAAGTATTAAGACTGAAACTGCAACAGCAGTGTAAGCAAGCAAAGTACCCACACTAACCTGCACCAGGTGAGAAAATTCTCACGTTAGACTTCATTGTTCCCCACAAGAAATTTAATTGATAAGCTTGAATTGACTTACCATGCCTGACAATTGTTCCACATCCATTAAAAGTGCCAGGACTGCAGCAAGGATACCAGCTGTCACTGTGCTCTTTACTGGAACTTTTGTATGTTTGTTAATGTCTGAAAAGAATGATGGCAATAATCCATCTCTAGCCATTGCCATTAAGACTCGTGGCTGAGAAAGAAGGAAAAATATAAAATTTATTTCCATTTCAAAGAGATCTAGCTCAAATTTGACATAGCTGCCTAATCAAGATAAGGTTACTCATGAAAATTTAGAAACAATTCAAGATAAAAAAAGGAGGATTGAACAAAAGTTCAGAAAAGACCAATTTTACAGAAACTTGGTAGCTTAAACTTTAAAGTGGTTTGAGTGCTGTTCAAATCTCAAGTGTTTAACTATTATTTAAAACACAAATTGGAAACAATCAGCAGCAGCATACCTGGGGAAGAAGCGAACCAAGCAAGCTTGCACACAGAGCAGTACTAGCGCCAGTTGTTGTAACATACCTGAAATTAGAGAAGGAAAGAATGGAATTCAAAAAATATGTAGAGGAAATCTCACAAAAATTTAAAAAGTGAACTAATACAACTAACTAGAGAAGGATATCATGCTTACGCTGCCCACTGCATTCCATTGGTAGAAAATGCTGAGGAGATAGGAGTATCTGGATTCAAGGAGTCGTATGGCACCAAACCAACGATAACAACTGATACAAGCATATACAAAATGCAGCACAAAGATAATGCCATCCCTATACCCAGGGGCAAATCTTTTTGAGGATTTTTCACCTGTCCAAAAGGGAAAGGGCGATGGTAAGGCTTAGAGTGATTTCCTTTATAAAGGGCCACAGGGCCATGATCAAATGAACTAAATTGCTTCATTATTAAAGGAAATGGCATTTCCTGAAGACAATAGCCAGAAAATGTTTGGGTTCAAGAATTTCTGCATGATCTCCAAAAATGTATACACAAAAAATGAATATCTTATTGAAAAGCATACCATCCTGTAGAGAGGGGGTCAGGGGAGGGGAAGGAGTAGGTACTTATACAAAACTGCTAGCATAGTAGTTAAGACCACAGATATCAGTAATATCCGACATAAGCCTGTCATATAAAAGTTATCCAAATGTCAGTGCCTTGTAATTGGTGGCATGCAGCTGTGTGGGGAATAACAACTCAGTTTCCTACACATATTCTCTTACTTTCTTATCTTTCTCATTGGAAACCTACAAAACTAGCTTATTATATAGACAAGGATGAAAATAAGCAAGTTAATGTGCCACAACCAATCTATTCACTCATCCTCATAGAGCTGGTGTACATAAATTTTCAAGGGTTCTGGCACATCTATGATTTAGGAAAAAAATCAACTAATGGTAGTCTAAGACCTCTACTGCTGATACTTGAGCGACATCAATCCCTATTCACTAATTTCTGAAGAGAGACTGAATTAGACAATCCTGTTAAACTTTTCTTCTAGACAAACTGTTGACAATTAGTACTGGGATTCAATACCCAAAGTTTGATCATATTATTCTGTCTAAAATCCAATACCAAGCAGTTGAATGAGTTGTACTAATATTGAACACCAGTATGGGCATCAATACCAAGTCAGCATCAAAAGTAAGCATTTTACTTGCTAGAGTGTCTGCAAGCAAAGCAATGTCTAAATAGTTGTCATCATATTTTCACAATATCAGGATTTTCATTATTTCGGCAAGTATTAATATGTTGAATTAAAACATTCAAATCTGTTATTCCTTCGCCCTTTCTTGTCTCATTATTTACCTAGTTATGAACACATTACACAGTCCTTGAGAGTCTGAATTTAGGAGTAATACCTCCTCGGCTGCACTGGTAACCACATCAAAACCAATATATGAAAAGAACACAACAGCAGATCCTGCAAGCATTCCATTTACTCCAAATGGAAAAAACCTAGAAAATGAAAAATGAAACATAGACGCGGCCATTAGGGGTTTATAAAGAAAAAGCCAAAAAGAAGAAAGAAATGAAAAATACACTGGCTACTACCCATTAGAAAGTTCATATCCAACCCATCCAGTCTTAAAAGCCAAATATCCACCAGCTATTATTACGAAAAGCATGGCACAGACATTCACTGTTGTAACTATGGCTTGTGCCAGAGAACTCTGTAAAATAAAAGTCCTATGTAAAATCAGTCAAAAGAAACAAGCACAGAAAAACACAATGTTAACTGCAAATTAATAATACCCAATGTGGGTGTCTCAACTAGTACGAACTTGAGACTCCAAGTTGAAGGTCTTTCCAACCTTGAGATGGGTGGGAAAGGGTTTGGAAAAAGGGAGGACTATCCCATTTGTATGGCCCATCTTCAGATGTACCAAAAAAAAAAAAAAAAAGAAACTGCAAATAAATAGCAGTATCAAATATGTATGTGAAAATTATTGCATAGGACCATCCTACAAATGATGTGGTGGAAACACCAGTTATGGTACAACACAGAAAAAGTCATTAAGTTTAGCCAATAGTTTTGGACAACCATAAGCTAGTTTGCTCATTCATTATGCTATATTAGTTGGTCCTACCACATCACATTCCGAACAGCTTTAGTGATAACTTCTTCTACGTACATGGATGTTGTAAAGAAACAGGTTACCTCCTTGATTCCAGCACATAATAGCACAGTAACAATAAAAACTAAAACTGCTGCACATGGATCAACCACAATACCAAACCCAGGGATGGTGTGACGAACCAAAAATGCCGGCAGCTTATCCTCACCACCAAAAAAAAAGGCCTGAAAAGGGTTATCCACTGAAACTGAGGATCTCTAGTAGGTTAGAACTTAGAAGTGTAATTCAAGAAGTAAATCCTCACTAGATTAGGGGATATGCCACGAGCAATAGCTGCACCACCAATCGTGTATTCCAGAATGAGTGCCCAACCAATCAGCCATGCAACACTGAAGTAACCACATGCTTAAGTCATTAACTGAAAGCAGATTCCATTTTACTTTAGAGAGGAATGTGCTAATATCCTAGATCATATCCACTGTTTAATATTTATTGCAAGAGGTCATGTCTTTCGATTTTGTTTCCCAAAAGTGAAAATTAATTCCACTTCCTGTCCCCTGATTGCCTGCGGGGCCTTGACAGAATCCTAGAACAGCTAGATCAATATCTTTGGATTTTCAAAAAGTATCATCAAGTTCTTCAACCAACCATGATGAATTAAATAGAAAAATACTGAAATTGGCAGCTTCTGCATAAATTGTGTAAGGAAGAGCTTAAAGTAAAAAAGGCAAATTATCCTAAAGGATGTAGATTACCTTTCACCAATACATATGTATGCATAGTGATAGGCACTCCCAGCAGATGGGCAACGACAAGCAAGCTCAGCATAACAAAATGCTGAGAGTGCAGCTGCCAGCCCTGCGATTAGGAAAGAGATACTGAGAGAAGGTCCCGCATGCTCTCTAGCAACTGTTCCAATAAGAATGTATACTCCAGCTCCTATTGTTGTCCCAACACCTGATTAAACAGAGAACAGATAGACAAATATCAATTCATATGAACCCCAGTTTTGTTCCTATCATAGTAAAATATGAACCTCTTCAAACATTCAGGGATGGTGTAAATTTAAGAGTTTAAGATATTTTGAATGCTCTTATCATGGTAATTAGTAAAAGATGGAATTCTTGATGATAACCTCCAAGTGAAAAGTTACTGCAAAAATGACAATACAAACAGTATAATTATCTCAGAATCCTAGTTACGGAGTAACCACTAGTTTGCTTTATTTATTAAACTGACATTTTTTAAAGAAAAAGAATGATGATCGCTCGAGTTTCATCAATCTACGCAAGGGCATAAACTTTAGACAGAAAGATACATATTTCAAAACAGATAAGAATTGTCAACAAAACTATAAAAGACAACTAAAAACTCTTCAATTCAGAAAAGAAATCACATAAGGTGCTGAGTCCATACAACCCATACACAACAAGAAGCTCAGAATATGCATAAAGTTAGCAAAAACAAAAGCACCCAGTTTCAGAAAGAGATAAAGTTTTAGGTTTCTAGTAGGTACCAATAGCAGTCAGGTCAAAAGCAGAAAGCTTCTTGGCCAACTGGGAACCCTCTCTTCTCCTCTCATAAACTGAATCAACTTGCTTTCTTCTAACAAACCCCTTTAACCCCCATGACCACTTT